CTCCCACCCTTCTCAGGCTGGGCCCTCTGCTTTTTCCTCACCGCCCTCCCCCTGGGCGTACAGTCCCCTCCTGGGACTCTCAGCCCTGCTGTCCCCATACCTAGACAGCCCTGGCACGTCTTGGGGGCTCGGTTCTGCCGTGAGGGGGGCGCCCCATGGGGAAGGGAGGAGGGGAGTGCCGGCCGTCGGGGCCGGGGGAGGGCGCGGGAGGCCCACTCTGGTCACGCCTGTTTGGGCGAGGGGTCATCAGGCCAAATATAGCCCCTTCCCTCACTGCCTCGCGGGTCACTTTCCAAACCTGGAAGCTGAGTTGGTCATGGAGACACCAGAGCCCTGGACACCCCGCGGACGTGTGGCCACAGCGGCCGGCGCCTCGGGCTGGTCTAGCAGCAACAGCGGGGACTCGGTGGCGGCAGGTGGGGCCCTCATGGCCTTCGCACCTTGCTCCCCCTGAGTCTCACTTTCCTCATCTGAGAAATAAAAAACACTAGCGTGGCAGGACCGAACCTCTGCCCACAACCGAGGTGTGCAAGAGATGTCTTATTTTTTCCTACAAACCAGCTATGTTGGACGGAGAGAGCTGTGATTGGGGTTGTTCTTGGTGCTTCCCGTTATCCGCTTGCACTGGGGATGTGCCCAGGCCCTGGCAGTGCTCAGGTGACAGGGTGACAGGTCCTCTGCACCCTCGTTAAGTCAGGAATCCTTGATGAGGCGGGACCCTGCGTTCTTGAGGGTCCCAGGGCCTCCTCCCAGACCTGGCCGCCCCTTCAGGGCACCGCGAGCTCTACCCTGGAGACCACCCAACCCTGGGGCCATCTCAGGCTTTAGAAAACAAAAGCCAGGGCCGAGGCAAGGAGGCCCAGCCCTGCCATGCGGAGGGCAGCCTGCAAGTGGCTGACTCCGGAAAGAAAACAATCATTAACATTGTGACAGTATCTTCTCACAGTAGTACCTGTGCGCCTGCCCCCTGCCTGCTGGAGGCCCCTTGGGGTGCAGGGAGGTTTGAGGACACCCATACCCAGCCCCTGTTCTGCCTGCGCTCCCTACAGACACCCCGGGCTCCCTTCTACTCAGCCAAATCCACTTTGCCCCCTTGAAGCACACGTGCCTTAAAGAGTGAACAGCAAACGTGAGTCGAATGCCTCCCAGCAGCGCCAGGATCTGTGTCTGAGCCGGTCACCATGCCTTGACCGTAAGGGAGGAGACTTTAAGGCCCAGGCGTCCTCGTCGTCGGCAGAAAGAAGAGTGAGTCACGTGGGTATCTGGGGAAGAGCATCCCAGGCAGGGGGCACAGCAGGGCACAAGCCCTGAGCCCAAAATATTTTCAGCGGGGTGTGGGGGGAACATACACCCCGTGGGAAGGGCATCAGGACCACCAGCAGGGGTTTTAAGCCACAAAATCTCCCCTCAGCCACCACCAACAGAGACTCTGAGAAGCCTTCTTTGGAGGGTCACGCTGGGTAGTACTGACGGGGAAGTGTCTCCTCTCTCCTGTTCTTGGGGCAGAGAAACCATGGAGAATCCCCACAGTCAGGGACACACGTGAGACCGCACACGTGCTGTGGCAGAGGCTGTGAAGAGCAGCACAGTGTTATGGGGGAGGGTGAGGACACACGGGACTGATTCTCCCCCCCGTGGGGGGGGCGGGCGGTCAGAGGATCTTAGGGGACAAGAGGTCTGCTTGGGTGGTGGGCTGGGGGTGCAAAGGCACAGAGGCCAGGGCAGCCAGGGAGCTAGGGGGCCTGAAAGCCATTCCACGTGACTGGTGGCATGGCCAGCGGCCAGGGGGGAGGACAGAGAACTCTTCGGGGAGTATGTCATGGAGGGCCTCGCCTGCCACAGGAAAGCACTGGGTTTCGTCGGGGAGCTGTGTGGCGCCATCGCAGACGTGTGGGCAAGGAGGTGGCGGGAAGTGCATGGAGGAAGCCGGGTTGGCGTCGGGGGAGGAGGAGGCGGCAGCCGATCACTTCGGGTCAAACAGGGGCAGAGGCGGTGCTGAAGGACAAGAGGAGGTGGATTCGCAGACACAAGGGGTGGAAAGGCCTGGACCTGAGCGTGGTGGGACCCGGGGAAAGCGAGAGGGAAGAGTCTGGAAAGGCCCCTGGAGTGTCCTGATTGGGCGACCGAGTGCCGCTGGCTGGGACAGGGACGGTGAGGAAGAGCAGGTTCACTGGGAGAAGGAGGTCAGTTCGGCGCATGTTGAGTTTGGGGTAGGACAGAGCAAAGCCCGGGTGAGCGGTGAGAATGAACAGGACGCAGTGGAAGCCAGCAGGACACGGTACAGGCAGAAAACAGACCTCCGCCAGGGCCCAGGTGTCTACTAAGAATTGCTGTGATTTATTGAGCATTTGCTAAGTGCCAGGCAGTGGTGGACACTTACACGGTGCCATTTCATCCTCAAGCTGACTCTTGAAGATGTTACTAGTTAGCATTATCTCAGTGTTGCAGGTGAGAAAATTGAGGCTCACAGAGGCCTAGAAACCTTCCCAGAGCTGTGCCGGCGAGAATCAGCATGCCGTACAGCTGCCGCCCCCCACCTGGCCGTGGCAGACTCTCGAGGGCTGCTGAAGGACACTGGCATGTTTTAGGGACAGTTGATGACTTCAATCTTGGAGAAACAGCCAGGCCTTGCTCAAGGCAGTAAGTCCAGAGCTTAGTAAGTATCTGTGGGTTGACTGCCCCTTGTTCCTCTGCGAGAGACTGGGCTCAGGCTGGAGAGGCTGTGGGCCCCGCCCAGCATGTCGCTGACGACACTGTCCCTATGGCGCAAGAATGGGCATGTCCCTCTTCCATCTCTCCTGGCAAGGGCCCGTGCTGGGCACACACAGGGGTCCTGCGGCAGTGACCTGTCACTCCAGGCACTCCGGGACTGGGCTGCAGGGAGGGTGGAGGAGAGAGCAGGGGGCTTGGGGACAGCAGGCTGTGGAACCTGAGTGACCCCATCCGAGGCCCACAGCCCCTGACAAGTTCTCTCCGAGCCAGGCAGCAGGCAGACAGGCAGTGGCAGGTGCAGACAGCTCTCCATGTACGTGGCTGGCCGCCCGGCCTGTGAACACTGCGTCTATTCTGGGTCCTGTTTTTCCTCCTCTCAAGCCCACTTCTCCTGTCTGTCTCCCTGGGGTTGCAACAACCTGCAAATTTAAATGCTGACTTGACTTCACTCTCCTCCCGGTGCCTTTCCCCAGTGGTGTGCCTGACGCCCAGGAAGCCTGCCCTGCTGGGGAGGGGAGACCACCCACCCCATTCCAAGGAGACCCTCCACGGGTGCCTCCACCCCACTTCCCTCAGCAGGGAGGGTGCCCAGACCTCCCCCTGCAGCTCCAGTCCACGGAGCAGGTCACCCACGATTCCCACCCAGTGCTAGGCACAGTCTCTGTCCTTTAGCAGCATGGCATGGCCTCGCATTTTAATCCTCATTTTGTCATTTCCTGGAAGAAGGAGAATGGCTGGGATTACAAATGAGTAGAAGGAATGAGGGGTAAGATTAGGGAAGGCGAGTTTAGTCCGTGAAGCCTCAGTTTCCCCCTCAATATGGAAGGGGAGATTATGCTTTCAGGAAAATTCTCTGAATGACAAGTTTGGAGATTTCTGGGGCCATATTCACATGAGTGAGCCATTTGTAAACCTTCTTCCTTGCCGCCCACACCCACCCACTTGGAAGTAAAAATAAACTCTCTTTCGAATCATTAATGGGGTGGCCAGTTCCCCAGTCAGGCTCCGCCCAGAGCAAAGACACCGTGAATCCGTAACGTGAGTTTACGCCTCCACGGCGTGCGGAGCGGGAGAGGCCCCGCCGCAGGAGATGCTTTCGTGGGGGCGGTGTTGGTGACTAATGATGATTGGGGCATTGGATTCTGGGGCTCCTTGTTGTGTAACTCCAGGGGGCACCAGTCAAGATATATACACACGCACACGCACACACGCACGCACGCACGCACGCGCATGCACGCACACGCACACCGCCGCACGCACACGCATGCGCACTGGAGCCGTGCAGTACTGCAGCCTGGCCCAGGCAGCGCGCTGGCCAACACCCCTTCCAGAGACTGTGCTTGTCTGGGGAGGCCCAGCGGGGGCCAAAGCTCTTGGAAGCCACCAAGCCAGGGCTCGGATGGCTGCAAGGAGAGCAGTTTCAGCCCGGAGTCCTGACAGAAGGGACCTGCCTTTGCAGTGAGAAAAATAGTCCTGCCTGGGCCCTGAGGAGAGGCCAGGCTGACGGGGCGAAAGATGGGGTAACCCGGAGGGTCGGGCTCCTGGGGAAGGGCCTCCTGCAGGGCGGGGCTGAGCTGGCGCCCCCCACAGTGCGCCCCGCATCCCGCTCACCCTGCACAGTAGTGCCTGTCCCTGTAGGTGGCTGCTGCGGGCAGGTGGTGTGGGCGGGGGAGGTGACGGGAAAATGAATTAAAGGGCAGCCCCGACCAGCACGGGAAGGCCTGGAGTTCTGAGAAACCCACCCCCATCCCTATCTGTCAGCCCACTGGATGGCGGGAGAAGAAAGACACCCAAACCGGATAAACCGGGGACCTTCCCTTCGGGGCCACCACTTATTATCCAATTCTAGGCCCTGCAAGTAGAGTGATGAAGAAAATGGATGAAAGTCCCCACGGTTCACGGAGTTTATATTCTAGTGGGGAAGATGGATAATGAACAAGATAAGAATATATATATGTGATTTAAGTGAGGGATAAGTGCTACGAAGGCAAAATTGAATGCTGGAGGTGGCTCAGATTGCACTTGGTGGCCAGGAGAGGCCTCAGTGAGGGATGACTTTTGAGTAAAGACCTGCAGAACGTGAGGGGGTGGCAGTGTGGGGGGGTGTGGCGGCGCAGTGAGGGGTGGGACATTCCAGGCAGAGGGATCAGCAAGTGCAAAGGTCCTGAGGCAGGCGTGTCTGAGGAACAGCAGGGAATCCAGTGTGGCTGGAGGGGAGAAGGCAAGGACAGGTCCGAGGTGCGCTCAGAGAGCACAGAGGAGTGGTGTGACCACGTTTGTTCCCACAGGAGAAACTGGAGTATTTCTTCCTCATCGTCTTCTCCATTGAAGCCGCCATGAAGATCATTGCCTACGGCTTCCTGTTCCACCAGGATGCCTACCTGCGCAGCGGCTGGAACGTGCTGGACTTCACCATCGTCTTCCTGGGGTGAGACCTGGGTGTGGGGGGATGGGAGGTCAGACCCCCTCCGAGGCCTCTGTGCCCTGCCAGCACCCCTGTGTCCCAGAGGTGGGCAGGAACCCCAGCACTGGACTAACCTCTGCGGGAAGCAGCCTCCACCGGGCCGAGCCCCGCAGGGGTGCGGTCGGTGTTGGTGGAGGGTGAAACGTTGCCCCGCTGCTTGCCTGCAGGTAGCAAGCCCTTCCCCAGCTGGGTGCTGCAACTTCCTTTATCCTCTTAACATCGCACAAAACGGGAATGATGTGTGTGGTTCCAGGGGCCAGCAGCTTCTGGGTGTTCACAGGTTTCTCAGCTTCTGTCATTTATTCATTTATTCCACGGACCTGTATTGAGTCCCTGCAATGTGGGTTCACAAAGGTGGACATTTAGCAACCTGTGTTAGTCCACTAGGGCTGCCGTGACGACATTCCACAGACTGGGAGGTTTAAGCAACAGAAATCCATTTTCTCACGGTCTGGAGGCTAAAGTCCCAGGTCAAGGTGTTGGCAGCCTGGGTTTCTCCTGAAGACTCTGCTTGGCCTGCACACGGCCGTCTTCTCGCCGTGTCCTCACACGGCCTGTCCTCTGTGCCTGCGCCCCTGGCATCCCCTGCGTGTCCAAATTTCCTCTTCCTATAGGAACACCAGGCAGATTGGATTAGGGGTCCCCAGTGACCTCATTGTAACTCAGTCACCTCTTTAAAGGCCCTGTCTCCAAATACAGCCACACTCGGAGGTACTTGGGGGTTAGGGCTTCAACATATGAATTTTGAGGGGACACAGTTCAGCCCATAAAATTACCTTAAGGAAGGACCACCTAATTATAACAGCAGCATTTACCCAGCACTTACTATGTGCTTACAGATAACATCTCGTTAATTCTCCCAACAATCTTCTTGTTTCCCCCATTTTATGGATAAGGAAGCTAAGGAACAGAAAAGTCAAGCAACTTGCCCAAGGTCACACAGCTAGCTGGGGCAGTGCCAGGATTCAAACTACGTCAGTCTTGGCTCCAAAGGCTGCACTTTTAACCAGCATGCTGCCCTTCAATTCAATAAGTATTATGTTGGTTACTTGCTAACTGTCCAGGGCTGTTTTAGGCACAGTGGGGAAAATAGAAGACTTCTGCGAATCAGCCTCTGCACTTTGTGAGCTGCCCTGGTTGACAGCCAAGACAAAGACGTACAGATTAACAGAGTGTCAGTAAACAGCGCCTCACTGTGCATCACTGTTTCATGCACAGTGTGTCCCAGGGGTTCTGTTGTCAGAAGAACGGGTCATAGAAAAAGGAATTTGAGGTGGACTTCAAAGGATAGTGGAAATTTGAGTAAATTGAGAGAGGAAGAAGGGGTGAGCAGGAAAGAAAATAAAAGGGCATTATCAGAAAGTGCAGGCCAGCAGGGTGGCTCACACTTGTAATCCCAGCACCTTGGGAGGCTGAAGCGGGAGGATCGCTTGAGGCCAGGAGTTCGAGACCAGCCTGGGCCATGTAGTGAGACCTCGTCTCTTCAAAAAAAAAAAAAAATTAGCCAGGTGTGATAGCACACACCTGTAGTCCCAGCTACTCTGGAGTCTGGGAGGCTGAGGCAGGAGCATCCCTTGTGCCGGGAGTTGGAGGCTGCAGTGAACTAGGATCATGACACTGTACTCTAGCCTGGGCCACAGAGCAAGACCCTGTCTTTAAAAAAAAAAAAAAAAAAAAAAGTGCAACATGAGGAAAAGCCCAGAGGGAGAACTGGCTCTGGAATTTCTTCTCTGGGTCACTATTGAGTGAGGGTTGATGGGTCCCCTTCTGCCCACCAGGGACTGTGCCTATGGCAAACGTCCTTCCACCCCCTCCAGCACCCATCCCAAACGGATCACAGTCCTCTTTTTACTGAGTCTGAATTGGTCTCACAGTCTCTTTAAAGAAAATGCTCCAGACAGGCACTACCAACTTGTCAGAGTTAGCAGTTGGTGGGACCATATTCGCCATCTCTCCCCTAGGCCTTTCCACAGTCCCCTGAGCCCAGACAGAGTCCCAGGCCACTGGGACAGTAGCTTGTGCAAACCCCGGGCCCCTTCTCTCCCTCTTCTCCGCTCCAGGGTCTTCACGGTGATTCTGGAACAGGTCAACGTCATCCAAAGCAACACAGCGCCTATGAGCAGCAAAGGAGCTGGCTTGGACGTCAAGGCCCTGAGAGCCTTCCGCGTGCTCAGACCCCTGCGGCTGGTGTCAGGGGTGCCCAGTGCGTGGCCCAGACCCCTTCCTCCCCGCCCATCTGCTCCCTCGTCTCCAGTTCTGTCCCCCTCCTACCTTGGCATTCCAGGAGCTTCCCAGGGTTCATAGAGAGGGAGAGCCATGAGACCAAGAGGGGCGGTGACACCTCTTTTCCCCTCCCTGCCTGCGGCAGGCCTGCAGGTGGTCCTCAACTCCATCTTCAAGGCCATGCTGCCCCTGTTCCACATCGCCCTGCTGGTCCTCTTCATGGTCATCATCTATGCCATCATTGGGCTGGAGCTCTTCAAGGGCAAGATGCACAAGACCTGCTACTTCATTGGCACAGGTGCGCTCCCGGCGGGGTGGGGGGTGGGAGAGTTCCTAGGAAAAGTCAAAAGGGGGCGCCACTCCCACCAGTGAGGGAGCCCCAAGGCTGGGCCATTGCCTCCCACACCTGTCGGCCTTGGGAATGGGTTTCTCCTGGACAGTTGGAGGGAGGACAGTTCTGCCAGGGTCAGCGAGCACAGGAAGTGAGCAGTGGCCTGGGCCACGGCTTGTTCTGGAACACCCTCCCCACCCCACTATGACATGGTATCTTCCAGGCTTCCTGGGCCCGTGGTGGATGGAGACACAGGCTTGGGATAAGCCTGAATTTCTGTTTGTGTTAATACTTTCTCTTGCAGCCGTAGCTTTAGCGTCAGTCTGAGCCGTTTGTTCAGTTGTCAGAAATAACCTACATCGAGGCCCAGATATATTTGAGCTAAACTTTGTCAACCAGCAGTTCTCAAACTTTTTGGCCTCAGGATCCCTTTTCAGTCTTAATAAATTATTGAGGCCTTAAAAGAGCTTTTGTTTGTATAGGTTTGATCTGCTGATAGTGGTGGTATTACAAATGAAAACTGAGAACGATGTCATGATACTAACTTACTAATTTATTTTCAAAGAACAGCAATAAACCCATGACATGCAAACATAAATAATATAAGTTATGAAAAATAACTATATTTTCCGAAACCAAAAATATTTACTGAGAAGAGTGGTGACACTATTTTAGATTTTCTATAAATCTTTTTAATGCCTGGCTTGGTAAGTCTGCTGGATTCTCACACCTACTTCTTTTTTGTTTTATATAATATTATTTTTGGTTTTCTTTAAAATTTTTAAAATCTGGTAACTGGAGGGTGGATCTCACATCTACTTCTGCATGCAGTCGGTTCCGACATCACACGCCCTGCAGCCTCAGCCTCAGCCCGAGCGTTACTCGGGGGACTGTGCGTGGCGTAAGACAGAGGTGACCTCTGTTGGGATGAGCCCTCCCCTGGCTCTTCTAACTCACCAGATTGATTCTCCTTGGCCTGCAGTGTCTCAGGAGACTACTCACCTCCTCGTGCCCACTGACAGCAAGGGGACAGGCAATGCCACTCCAAACCCAACTCACAAGAGTAAACTCTGGCAAAGCTTTCAGCGG